AATCTACTACATATTCGCGTTTTTGAGTAGTTTTATTTTTGCTCGACATAATTTTCTTAATTTTAAGAGCAAAAATTGTCCAACATTAAACACTATATGGTTACAAGAATTATATAATACAAGATTCCGCATTCCCAGTGGCGGTGAAATTCCTCAAGTAAAAGTAAACAAAGCCGAATGGGAGGATAAAATAAACTATAAAATAAATTTTCTCAAACGGCGATTTTTTTGAAAGTATATAACGGGTGATTTTTTTGAGGTTAGGATTTTCATGCATTAGTATTTGACAGATCACGTGGGATTTCAGACATGGTGTCAAAGAGAAAGATGCTCAGTATGCTTTGAAATTTCATCATGAATAGACTTACTAACGAGCAACGCTTGCAAATCATTGAATTTTATTACCAAAATCAGTGTTCGGTTCGAAATGTGTGTTATCGACAAATTTTGTTCAGCGATGAGGCTCATTTCTGGTTGAATGGCTTCGTAAATAAGCAAAATTGCCGCATTTGGAGTGAAGAGCAACCAGAAGCCGTTCAAGAACTGCCCATGCATCCCGAAAAATGCACTGTTTGGTGTGGTTTGTACGCTGGTGGAATCATTGGACCGTATTTTTTCAAAGATGCTGTTGGACGCAACGTTACGGTGAATGGCGATCGCTATCGTTCGATGCTAACAAACTTTTTGTTGCCAAAAATGGAAGAACTGAACTTGGTTGACATGTGGTTTCAACAAGATGGCGCTACATGCCACACAGCTCGCGATTCTATGGCCATTTTGAGGGAAAACTTCGGAGAACAATTCATCTCAAGAAATGGACCGGTAAGTTGGCCACCAAGATCATGCGATTTGACGCCTTTAGACTATTTTTTGTGGGGCTACGTCAAGTCTAAAGTCTACAGAAATAAGCCAGCAACTATTCCAGCTTTGGAAGACAACATTTCCGAAGAAATTCGGGCTATTCCGGCCGAAATGCTCGAAAAAGTTGCCCAAAATTGGACTTTCCGAATGGACCACCTAAGACGCAGCCGCGGTCAACATTTAAATGAAATTATCTTCAAAAAGTAAATGTCATGGACCAATCTAACGTTTCAAATAAAGAACCGATGAGATTTTGCAAA